AAAAATTTTCCCTTATAAATATTGATAGTGATAGTAAGACTAATATCTAAAAAGTCAGTTTCACGAACTGAAGTATTATTTTTATTCATAATCATCTCTGGAGGATATATTTCACTTAAAGCTCGTTCTAATAGACCAAAATCATACCTATATAAGACCATACCATGAAGATTATACTTTTCCGAGCCACCGTTGAGCCTATATTGTTCTAAATCTATGGCTGGAGACCCATTGGATATCGGTTAGTAGCTGTCTGAAAACTATAAGCGTATTAATGGCTGTTACAGTAGGCCCTCAACAGTTGAATACCATCCCCAAGCCAACAGTGATGATTAGTCGAAGCATAATGAAACTAGCCAAGTATTTAGCGAGACACAATGATGAACTGGCCGATCAAGCACTTTTTGGGATTCCCAGCATAAAATAACAACACCTGTTTCCAAACAGTTAAAGTTAAAGATTATAAACTTACCGTTGCCTAATTCTGAGAACATGGAACGCACACGTGCCAATATGATTTTACGCGCGAATTACCCAGAATTAACTGAAACTGAATGCTGAAAGAGAATCTTATCAGTTATCGGCTATCGCGTCGCGCGGGGAATCCGAATAATTTTGGTCACGTTCATCATTTTTGTGTTCCCTTTTAAATACAATTACCAGTGCAGAGAGTGGTTTCAGAAACGCAAATTCAACTTGCAAAGATCAATTTACCTGGGTACGGTACCTCGCTCAGGCTTTTGCATTTATTAAGTTAAACACATTGATTTAACATTGAACATATTATGGCGATTAAAATATGTCTATAGCAGATAGGGCGGAATGACAGGTTTAGCAACGCCCAGGAATTACAAGCAGCAAATTCTGCTACTGCTAGTGCTATCAGTATCACGGAGAATCAAAGCAAATATTATAGTGGTACCGTGGCATGTCCTGTGTCCATTCTTGGTCAGCGTTGTATAGGTTGCATGGATTAGGATAAGTTCCTGCTTGCTGTTGGCGTTGCTGCGGTGAGGCTGGCTGGAACAATTGTCGGAGAACTCTTTGGCTTCGTACTCTCTTCACTTCTTTCTCCGCACAAAACTGTTTTAATCCGTGGAGGCCCTGTTTTAACGTTCCTTATGTTCCAAACGTTAAAATCTTTTAGCGAACGCGTTCACAAACTATTTTTAGTGAACGTTCCGTACGAATTCACTACAAGTACAACTAAGCTATAAGGGCAAAATCATCGATTAGAGGCTTTTATCTTAAAGAGTGAACCGAACGTGAAACAGATCCTATTGCACGGTGGAGAACCAAACTAGCAACTTTTCTATTATGAATACGTTCAGTAGGTGAAATTTATTGTTATTAATTTTTACCTGTCAGATACGTAAAATAACAAAGTAATCTCTCCGTTAGGCGTTCGGGTAGGAGAAATAAGCAAGCTGATAAGAGACAATAAAATTACAAACGTATGCAATTAGTGTGTGGCGTGAGGTATATTTACTTTAATTTTTAGTGCCGACTTTAGCTTCAATGATATCACCGCGCACCGTTAACATACTCATAGTCTGGACAGCACCCTTCTAAATCCGAAAAGTGTCATACTTGTAGTAAATATTTGGTAGAATTCGGTCCAGGACAAGCTATTAAATTTTTTGCTGCGCTCCGGTCTATCACAGCAGTTTTCCTAATACCGTAGAGAAGTTTTTTTTATTAACAAATAAAACTCGATTACTAGACTCCTAGCCTGATACGAACTAAATTAAAAATTGCTCATAATGAACTTATCATCTTATCATAAATAAAAATAAATGCTGTTAGCTGTGAGCTTTTGCTGGTCCCATGAATATAATTCAATGGATATGATATAATATAAATATTCATATACTTGCACATTTACGAGTCTTCTGAATCTATTATATTACATAATACACGACTTCTCATTTCATAATTCATATCAAACATTTATATACTCATGCAGCGAGAACAAAATATTTAGTGTCGAAACTAACACAAGCAGTCATATTGCCGTGTTGTAAAACGGCCGACCGTTTACTACAAGTTAAGTCAAGTCAAATCAAATTAAAACATAGTTTTAAAAAACGTATACGCTATCTGCAACATTTGACATCTACTTCTAGCACAACGTGCACAGTCTGGTTTAGTCAAAAATGTTACCTGGGAACCTCAGGCTATCATGTTCATTAATGAATAGAGATTCGGCGGAATGACAGGCTGAGCGCTGCCCAATAATCAACAATGCAGCTCTAAACGCTGCGGACTTGCTATTATAAAAATTAATGAGCGCTCGATTTGAAATCCCGACGCGCATAAAAACTGCCACTAACTGCTACTAACTGCCACTAACTGCCACTAACTGCCACTAACTAGGTAGTGCGCTATCGACAGTGAGCCGCGCGTGCCGACTGTAGGATGGTTTTTTAGCGCTAATTTCGGCCAGCACAATTTTCTTCAAACAAATAGATATTGAGTATCCTTCCCGACCTCCAATTGCAACAAAAATTGGTAAGCTTACTCATAGACTTACAAGGAAAGTGTCCGAAAAATTTAAAGCATATCCAACCATCAAACATTATGTTACAGCTAAAAGCAGCGTATTTTGCCCCATTTTGATCACTATATCAACTCCGATATCCACCAAATTTTTCGGACAGTTGTGAAAGCCCTATTGGAAGGTCGTCGCCAATTTCCAGAATGATCCCATTTAAGGAACTGAAGATATATCCGAATAATACGACAAAAATGGTCAAATTTGGACGAATTTGGTCAAATTACGCGACTTTTACAGCTGCTTTTGCTCCAAAAGCCGCGCACCATCGAATATGGCACCTAGGCGAAACTCACTGATCTTTCCAAAAAGGTATGACAAATTTGGTATTGTGAAAATTCTCACAGTCTCTAGAAAACAGTGGTACAAAAATTTTTAAAATCCGAGCAAGTTTATTTTTATCGTGCACCCCCTACACTAACTGCTACTGTCGCGCGCAAATGCGTGGGCGCGATTGTAGCAGTTAGTGGCAGTTAGTGGCAGTTAGTGGCAGTTTGTAGCAGTTAGTGGCAGTTTGTGGCAGTTAGTGGCAGTTTGTGGCAGTTAGTGGCAGTTTGTGGCAGTTAGTGGCAGTTTGTAGCAGTTAGTGACAGTTTCTTTGCACTTAGCTCCTCCTGTGGACAGTTAGGGTTAAAATACTCCCTTCGTGAGTTATCAGCAAAAACTGTTTCAATCATGTGACTTTGGACTTGACATCATAAAATTAAAAAAGTTGGTCTCATTTATCGTAAGGGTTGGGGTTTTAAATCGTCCCTCTAAAGAACGTGTCTATGGAAGTACTCAAAGTAATAGTCGAGTGTAGAGTAATTTATCATCGACCATGAATGATAACAGAAACTGCAATGGTAACATTAACTTTAAGCAAGAGCGATTTATGTCTGTTTGTTTGTTTGTTTGTTTGTTGGGCAACAGTTCCACCTGGTCCTCCATAGTAAAACTAAAATTCTACGTCCGCCTTTAATTCTAAAATTTAATCATGGCTCTCCCTGGTGCAGAGATTGGGCTCGAATATATGAACTGGATTAAGTTTATTTATAATTATATATTATTATATATCATGTCCCAGAGGACAAGTTAAGGTTTTTTGCGCGTTGCTGCATCCGAAGGGCGAATCCCATAGTCGCGATCTATGAGTATGCTAGATTGCTAGGGTTAGGGTTAGGGTTGGGATCAGATTAGAGGGTTAGGGTTTCGAAAAGTTATTCAGGACCACCTCGAGAACTGGTTAAAAAAGTCACGTGACAGTCGAGTGTAAAATGATTTCATTGATTAATCATCATCCTTACCAGTATCAATAAAACTAAATCGTCTTTTTCAGGCCTGTCATTGTGAAACCTTCGAGTTCGCTTAAGGGGAAGATTGATTCTGAGTCTACGGGCCCTGACAATGAGACTTCCTAATATCATGCCAACTTTGGTCACGACAACAGTTGTAGAATTATGAAGAAAAAACCATCTGCAATGTGAAAAATAAGATCCACAACATGGATTCTCAAATATAAACTGGAATTTCGGGAACACTCTCATTTTTATATTATCTTCGCAATTGATCTATCAGTATTGAGGAAAGTCATCGCACATTAGTATAGACATAGTAGTGGAATTGTAAATGGATTGAATAGTTAGTACTTAGTAGTTACATTATTTATGTGTTAGCATATTTTCTTTGCAAGTGCAAATAATTAAGATATAATATGAACATTATTTAAAGTTGAATTGGAATATGCCAGAAGATTCAAGATTACTAAAATTGATATGAAAATGAAAAAAATGTCGGATTTTTTCAGGTTTGATCATTTTAATGTTTGTTCAGAATTACGTCCGTTCACGCAATTTCCAGTTAAATTAAATTAGGTCCGAAACAAATACCAATAAATACGTCTTCTAATGCAAAGAATAGGGTGACAGCTAGGATAAACTTGGTCCGGTATCACACATTATACTTCTCTCTGAAATACAGATTGGAATTCACAATTCAGTAACTTTCTTTATCATAATACTAGCCGACTATAAGTATAGTTACTTAACACAACAAACTAAAAGAGTTTATATTGCATTGTAGGTTTGTACAACCTTATACCAGGACGCGCGCCGAGTTGGACTCGTCGACGGTATATAATATATTGTATATGGAACAGATATTTTACAAGTATCAACCGTTAATATATGGAACAGATATTTTACGAGTATCACCCGTTAAATATTGCATCATATATATGCATCATATCAAACCAGTAATCAGTCCCCTACCTAAATTTGCTGCGGCTGATATATGAGAGCACAGGTTGTTGAAGTTTCTGAGAAACAGCTGATGTTATGATGTCGAAGTGACAGGCCGAGCGCGCCGCGCCGCCTCATATAGAATATCTCGCAAAATAACTTTGCGCAGGCTATTCAGGAACGTGGGCATGTACGCCAACGACATCCGACGGTCGTTGCCATGAGGACACATCGATGTTCACAAGTTGTGCAGTCAGCACGTGCAACTTCAGTTATCATTATCATATTCATAACACGTTAGCAAAAAAGACCAAGAAGAATCAGAAAAAAGGAAACAGCAGGAAAAAGGACAAGTTAAAAAAGGAGAAAACCATGGTTTTCAAAATGCTCAGTGTTCAGCTTTTGCTGGAACGCCTCCGTCGACCGATTAAGACTACAAGCACAGCCAACAAAGGAAGACCCATCAACAGCCCTGTGTTGGCGACAGGAAGACCTGCTGTTTTCACCAGCGTCAAACCACCTCGACCAAGGTCTGCCCATCCCAGGAGGCAGAGAACAGCCCCAGAGCTGGCAAAAAGTTCCCAAGAGTCAGGTACTAAGCTACATTCTCATTTTTATTATCATCAATGTGAAATTGTTGAATTCTGAAATTTATCGTACTTTCAAATTGTAGTAGCTTTTAGTAATCCTTGATCGAATTTTGTACTCATTAAACTAATACTATTACAACCTATAGTGGAACTCAAAAAGGAGCACCTGGCAAACGAATGGAAAAAGATTCACGAACTTGAAGAGTATTTAGGCCTCAGGCCAGACTCGACTATGTCGAACGTTACGACATCTACGATGTCTGCAACATCAAGGTAAATGTTTATTGTTTTGTTATGCGAAGGTCTATAGATTAGAGGGCCACGTTTTATCGCCTAACATTTTAAATATTTATAATATATTGGTTTAATCTACATCAATCTATTAGTTTGTTTGAATTTGATCTTGCTGCAGAATCGAATGGTTTATTTTAATGATATATCAGTAAGCATTTGAACGGTTTATTTTAATGATACGTTAGTAAGCATTTGCATTACACCAATAATATGATCATTAATCAAATCATTGCAGGCACACCCTTCTGCCAGGTGCCGTGAGCGATTCGGAGGATGATGTAGGAGAGGAAGAAGTGATCATCAACACCCGGGATGTTGAATCCCATAGGAAAATAGAGAAAGTAAAGAAGCGCAAAAGGATAACCATCCGAGGACGAGCGGCGCTTTCGTCTTTGAAGAGAACTTTAAATGCTGCAAAGACGAAGTTCTTGGCCTGTTTCCATTGGTTAGTTTAATTCATTAAAAATAGTATTAGTAACCACAGAAAATGTGGCTGTAGGCTTTTACATTTTTACATGCTGGTTAAGTTGACCATTACTTGGTGTTTTACCACTGACACCGCGTGGCGTTAGCCAAGTTGCAGCAACAAGCTGCAAATCTCATCAAGCTGTAAATTGGGCCGCTGCGATTTATAATTATCATCATTTGCTGAATGCTGTTCAGTTTCCTGTGATTTGACGAGTGAAAGCTTTTTTTCTGAAGCTCGTTTTTATTGAGGTGAACATGTTTTTGCTTGTTCTGGGAGAATGGAGAGTTTCTGAGAGCGGATCTGCTTTACTCAAAAGGTTGCCAATAACTAGCCGTTTTTTTGTATTTATTCAAAATAACAATTGAAATATTTTTCAGATTCTGTGCACACTGGAATCCACGCCTCCCTTTGAAGCCGCCTCAAGATAAAAATGCTCCACATTGCAAATGCAGGCGACTTTAATTTGCCGTTTGTAGACTGGTCCAGTAACCAGTAAGTCGATCAAACCAAACTCCAGCAAATCGGCTTCCGACACGAACTCGGGACTAGCCTTTATGGAGTTCATATCTTCAAACTTCCTAGAGCAGCTAGTCGACGAACCCACTAGGAAGGACAAAAACATCCTTGACCAGATCCTCTTCAACAACATTGACTTAATCCACGGTTTATCAGTGTCAAAGACGGAGAAATCAGACCACGACATAGTGACCTGTACTCTCCTCCACCCGTAGTTCCTACTTGAGCAACCAGCAAGGAAACAGTACAGTCCTGTCACAGCACTTGACGACATCAACTTCAATGCTGCTGACTGGGCCTTGATCAACAAGGAACTCACTACTGTAAACTGGTCGACATTAAGCAACCCTTCAACTAGCCAAGATGCTGCATATGGGATATGTTTGAAGGGATCCTTGTGCAGATCTGCAAGAAACACGCACCTTCACATAGCCACAATCGTCAAGCCGCAGCATCTTCAAAAATCCCAAGAACTTGTTGTATTGCTCTAAGTAAGATCAAGACTAATCCTAAGGCCTTTTATACCTTCGCAGAGAGGTTTAAAACCCCTGCTGCATCCGTCGGACGCTATTGGATAGTGATGACAAGCTCCAGTCTGATCCAGCCACTATGGGTAATATCTTACAGGAGCAATATGCGAGTGCTTTCAGTGACCCCAAAAAGGCAAATCTAGCCGAAGTTCGGACGTCCAAGGTCATTGAGCAACCACATTCTATCACAGACATCGACTTTAACGAGCAAGATATCCTCGACAGCATCAAAGCGATGAATCGTTTCTCAGCAGTCGAACCTGACAAGTTCCCAGTCCTAATCCTCAAGGAATGTGGAAATGTCCTAGCTGCTGTGACAACCAAGCTATGGAAAGCTTCGCTAAGCTCTGGTGTAAAAGCTACAAAATTCAAAAACCAGAGTATTATCCCCCTTTTTAAGAAGGGAAAAAGGTCGATTGCTGCCAACTATCGACCGGTATCTCTAACATCCAACCTCATAAAGATGTTCGAGAGGGTCGTCCGTGCTAAGCTGGTTGACTAAATTGTAGCTCAAGACATCATCAACCACGACCAACACGGCTTTCAAGCTGGAAGAATTAGCTGTCTTACTCAACTTCTTCACCACGTCCAAGACATCATGGATGACTTAGATGGTGACGAAAATGCTGATATTCTGTATCTTGATTTCAGCAAAGCCTTCGATAAGGTAGACCACGCTATACTTCTGAAGAAGCTCCATATGTACGGTATCCAGGGCAACGCCCACCGTTGGCTGGGAAGCTTCCTCAGTGGAAGAAACCAACATGTTGCTGTAGATGGTATTGAATCTCTCGTCATAATGGTGCTAAGTGGGGTACCACAGGGCACTGCATGTTAGGCCCACTGCTATTTATTTTGTATATCAACGACCTGTTCCTAGTTGTAGAATATTGCAAAGTAAAAGTGTTTGCTGATGACTCCAAGCTCCACGAAAACATCAGCTCCCCGTCCGACTGCAAATGTCTCTGCAGGAAGACTCTGTGCAGTAGTGTGATGGGCAGTAGCAAACAACATGGAGCTAAACGAAAGTAAGTTCCAACTTCTCCAGCATGGCAAGAACCCTGAGCTAAAGAAACTCTACATTTTACCATCTGGTGCATTGATATCTTCTTAAGATGTCGTGAAAGATCTCGGTGTGTATGTTGACAGTGATCTCTCCTGGCGTCAACACATCACAAGAAAGTCCTCTGAGGCAGCGAGCAAAGCTGGATGGGTACTGAGAACTTTCTCTACCAGAGACAAAGACACGATGGTGATACTTTTCAAGACATACGTCTGCTCTATTACCGAGTATTGTTGTGCTCTCTGGTCGCCTCACCTTCAGTGTGACATGATAATCATGATTGAGTCGATCCAACGCTCATTCACTGCAAAAATAGCATGATACAAGCATCTTAGCTACTGGGAGTGGGAGCGCCTGAAGCAGCTTGATCTTTACTCCCTACAGCGCCTCCGCGAGAGGTACATGATCATCCTTGTCTGGAAAATTTATTACGGTGAGATTTCCAACAGTGTAAACATTTCTTTCCAACACTCTCAAAGAAGAGGTGTTCAATGTCTTCGTCCTCTTATACTGTCTACATGCCTCCCGGAGCAGAGACTTCAGACTGGAAGAACCTGCTAGACAGACTGAAAGCCAAAATAGATACGATCTCAGAAAATACAATGGTGCCAGACATCTACGTTGTTGGAGATTTTAACTATTAAAATTAACATTAGACTGGAGACATGGAAATTTAAGCAGTGAAGCCAGTGTCAGAATCACGATTTTATAGAGTGTATAGATCGTAACTTTCTAACACAGGTCGTAAACTAGTCGACAAGAGGAGGGAACACCCTGGATCTTGTACTTACAAATGTTTCGGGTATGTCACAGAAGTAAAAGTGGATCTTTATCAGACCATAGCTTGGTTGAAATTCAGCTTGTCTTAAATATGACAGAAAGAAGGAAAAGTAAATCTCTGGGAACTCTGTGACGAGGACTTGAACTCTTTTCTCGAATTTTTCAAGCTGACAGTACTCCAGATGACATTTGAGTTCTCCCCCAAAGAAAGAGATCAGTGCAACTGAGATTGCCTCAAGAAAGAGAAGAGGAAATACGCACGTTTATCATTATGTCATGAAGAGAACACGAAGGAAGATGAATGCTAAGATACGGGCATTACAGGAAATGAATCCTAGCTCGAGTCTTATCCCCAGACTGGAAACGGAGGTTTTACTGCTTTGTTACTACATACAGGAAGGGACCCTTGAGAGCTGACAAGAAAAACTCCGGGCAGTCGACGCAATAAAAAGAACCAGAAATACTTCTCCTCGTAGTCGTATGCCAAGCGTCTTCAGAAGACCAGATCTAGTAACCCCGTGAGTGCTGATATTGACGAATGTATGAGAAGGATTACCTCAGGGACTGAAATCTTGATTCAACGAACTAAGCTTCACTAGACAAGTTATCATTGAAGCATTAGGAGAACTGGATTCCTGTTCTGCCGCACCTGACGGATAGATCCCTGCTAGGATACTCACAACCTGCAAAGAACAACTTGCAGACCCACTAACACTCCTTTGGTAGGAGATATATTCGGGAAATTCACCTCCGTTAACTATAATGCAATGGAAGCAGCGTGGTAGACTACTGTACTGCTACTCCTAACCTCCGTGAAAGAGTGTCTTCATTTCGTATCATGGATCTCACCAAGTTTTCTGACCACAAGCCGTGCATATGTAAATTAAAATACGAAAGTGTTGTTTCTAACGCAGATACGTTAACCGAATCTCTAAAAGATGCACCCCGAAAGCATGAATGGAACGGGTCTGAAAATTAAGCAACTCCACTCCGCTATATCGTATATTATAGCTCAAAACACACCCCAGTTCGCAAGCCGAATTGAAGGAATTCTAGGAACAAAGAAGACATAAAACGCATAAGTCAAGATATTGTCAAGATTCTCAATGATGTTGCTGACAAGGTTACTCCGAATGGAAATATCAAGCAAAATAGGAATAACCACCAGAAATACCGACGTAAGAAAAGTCGCATGAAGCTGAAGCCCAAGGCACCCTGGTTTGATGCTTCGTGCATCAACAGCAAGCGGGAACTAAATCGACTGGCCAAGTCTTGCGGCAAAAACCCTTCGAGTCAATACCTTAGAGTCACGTACTATGAGAAACGTCGTCTTCACAGCCTCACAGGAAACTTACAAAAAAAAGAAGAAGTCTGTACTGACATTAAATCAGGCGTCAATCAGGCGATTCAAGAATCTCAAGGAGCTGAAGACAGAAAGTAGCAAGCTGGACATCTTTGGCATGCTTAACTTATGTAAATTCTTTAAGGAAATTAGAATTCAGCAACTTCAGGACGGCATGAAAAGGAACAAATTGCTGTCGGAACTCTCAAAAACCCTCGACCAAAATATAACAGCTGAGGAACTTCAAAGCTGCATACACTCTTTCAAAAGAGGTAAAGTGGTGTCTGAGGACCGAAACGAATTCCTCAAGTCTTCAAACACGAACATGCAGACCGCCATCTTGTACCTGTTCAACCAATGCCTCGTATTTGGTGTTTACCCCTGGAGCACTTCAGTCGTGACTCCACTGCACAAAAAGGGCAGTATAACTATATATGACCCAAATAATTACAGAGCATTTGCTGTTGCCAGTAATGTTGGCAAGCTGTTCTCATCTATATACTCCTAGTCCTATTATAGCGCCTGGTCAGATTCACGAGTCTAGCCTGCCCGGACACTCCAAATCAACTCGGGTTCTGCAAAGGGGCTCTAACAGATGACCGCATGCAAACACAACCACAGCCAAGTTTTGCTGTTGAAATGGGAGCTGGGTGAGCCTGGAGAGCGCAGCAGAGAAGATCTAGGGGAGAGAGCTAAAGAAGCTCTGGAGTCTGGAGAGTGTTGGAGAGAGGGAGGCAGTTCACTGTTCCAGATGAATTTACCTGCTCTCTTGGATTTTGTATTGTTGGTTGACTGTGTCGAGCTACGCTACTGCGACTCAACTCTGCTAAATAAAGGCATTTATAACTTAGGGAGAATATGGGTACATTTACTAATCCCAGGTTTAAATGACTTTTATGAATATGCGCGAGCGGTCATAGCAAGCAAAGCTCTCGTTATGCCACAGCAACACCATTTGTTTTACCATTGATTGTTATGTCTTAACAGTTTTCCAAACAATATGTTTATTTTATTTGTAATGTCAAAATTAAAATTGTAACATTCGACCCATTTAGAGTGATAATGAACTCAGTCCACATTTCTAAGCCAGTTACTTAGGAACAACTCAACGCAGCTTTGAAAAATAACCACCCTATGAGGGGGAATATTTTAATGGACCCTCCACGTAATAAGAAATACATCAACCTAGTTGTTAAGCAGAGCGTTTTGGTTCGTAACTTTTTTTGGTTCGTAACATTGTTTCCCAATTTCAAACTAAGTAAAAACAAGTTGGATATGTGGTAATAATGTGCCGTAAAACATAAACAAATTCACAATTATACAATATCATCATTTAAACTCAAAATATTTTGACAATAAAAATTCCAGTTGAATCTTAAAGGTACAACCATGGTTATTGGTTAAGTTAGTTACTGTTAAGCTGTATTATTCAAAGGGTAAGTGAAATTCAAAACAATATGAGTGGCGATAACTAAGACAACCGATTTTTTTAATCATAAACTGCAACATGCGTATGTTATGATTAATATTGTTTCCAAGAAATTTTTATCTGTGAGTGATAACTAATAATCAATCAATAGTTACCTGTGAATTATCTATAATTTATGTTTAAATTTGTTCACCAAATGCAAATGAATAGTCCAGGGATGACGAAAAAGCATATCCAATTAGCAACTGGAAACTAAAATAAGAACTTGGCTAAACATTAGAATAGAGTTGTCGAGGAAACTTTATTATTAACTGTACAATTATTACAAAAATCCAAAATATTATCAACCAAAAATCTAAATCACTCTTTTCTACTGATATCAAATATTGGTGTCTTGAGTCCGGCTCAAGAAATTTCCAATTTCCAACAATTTCCTTATTTTTCGGAAATAAAGTACTATTCACATCAACCAAACCGTAGCGTAGGTCGATTTGAACTCTATTAAAAATGTTGTTATGGTTGCAAAAGTAAACCAATAAAGTTCAACAAGCGCTCAAGATGACCAAACGTGACGTCACATCACTTGACACATGACGTCACATCACTCGACATGTGACGTCACATCACTCGACATGTGACGTCACATAACTCGACATGTAGCGTCACATCACTCGACATGTGACGTCACATCACTCGACATGTGACGTCACATCACTCGACACGTGGGAGTTTATCACCTCTTCAGCTTTGCTGTCAGTTGATGTATAACCCCCGTTTCGTAGTGCTTGACTTTTTCGCGAAGCGTCGAGCAGTTGTGTTCGTATTCTTGAGCTTTACAGTTCGCTTCAACCTGCAAGATATTTAGACAATTAGTTAATAATAAAAAGAGAATTATTTGATAAATTTGGCAGACAGCAATCATTGACATAATTCTAGATTAAAGGTTCAATATGAGAGTACAGGACGTATCCTGAATGTTCCCTTTATTTTAAAGTAGTGGCAGCTCTATTGTTTTCTGACAAATGTAATGTGCTTGAAGACCATTTTTGAAATTCTGAATTTCTTATTTGGGTCAAGACAATGACATGCAGATTGCAGAATAATTAAAAAGCTATTTTTTTGGAATCATTCCTGATAAAATTTTAATTCTAAATATGTAAGCTCAATCATCTGCTCACCAGACAGAGTTTTGTTTTAGCTAACTCCATCTCCAATTCACGGAGCCTCTGTTCCGATGGAATGTCTATCGCTTTCCCTCCCACCTGACAAATATTTAAACTGAATTCAAGAAAACTTTAAAATAACTTAGGAATATAAAAATCGAATTAATGAGAATTCAATGAAATATAATCTTGGACCAAACATTAGGTTGCATAAAGTTAGGGAAAGGTTGAGAAATGGTGACGGATCAGCTGTCTAATATCAGTCTTCACAGACCTGAGCTTTAATCTCTATAACCTCCTGGTTCAGCTCCTGTTTCTCCTTCTCGTGTCTCTCCTCTATTGATCGACACATGGTGTGGTATTCCTGTAGTAAGGATATAACAGGTCAGTGTTGCTAATAGTCTCATTTGTCGATGCCTGGCAACCACCCCCGCTGCCTGGCAACCACCCCCGCTGCCTGGCAACCACCCCCGCTGCCTGGCAACCACCCCCGCTGCCTGGCAACCACCCCCGCTCGGATGATCAGAATTGACATCGATTACGATTTAATCCTTTTCTTCACCAATAACAATCAGTACCGTAAAAATGTCATAAAAATCATTTAATGATGATTATCATCTAAGAAAGTAAAAACGTAAAAACTCAGTCAAGCACCTGAATAGTAAGCTGGTGTCTGGCTCTCTCATCGTCCCCCTCAATAAGGGATGAGTGGTAGAGGTTCTTAGTTCTCAGGATCTCGGAGGAGAGGGCCGCGTTGTTATCTTCAAGTTGGTGGTACGATGACGTCATCTTCGTCAGATCTCTTTTTAGGTCCTGTATTTGAAGGCCGTCAGCTTTATGAACTTCATACGATGTATCATTCATTTTGTTTGACCCCGATTTATATTATTGCATATTTTGGATGATAAATAACAGTACGTGAAACCTAGGTGAACTGTTTCCTGTACCAAGCACAAACATGGGGGTATTCCAATTCAAAAATTATTTGATTCATAAATTCAGTTAACAGACAACTATTGAGTGCTGACTATGTAATCTGTATTCTCGATCAAAATATGAGAGAAAAGTAAGATAAAAGCAGGTAAAATAAAGTAAGATAAAAGCAAGATAAAAGCAGGTAAAATGAAGTAAGATAAAAGCAGGTAAAATGAAGCAAGATAAAAGCAGGTAAAATGAAGTGAGATAAAAGCAGGTAAAATGAAGTAAGATAAAAGCAGGTAAAATGAAGTAAGATAAAAGCAGGTAAAATGAAGTAAGATAAAAGCAGGTAAAATGAAGTAAGATAAAAGCAAGATAAAAGCAGGTAAAATGAAGTAAGATAAAAGCAGGTAAAATGAAGTAAGATAAAAGCAGGTAAAATGAAGTAAGATAAAAGCAGGTAAAATGAAGTAAGATAAAAGCAAGATAAAAGCAGGTAAAATGAAGTAAGATAAAAGCAGGTAAAATGAAGTAAGATAAAAGCAGGTAAAATGAAGTAAGATAAAAGCAGGTAAAATGAAGTAAGATAAAAGCAGGTAAAATGAAGTAAGATAAAAGCAGGTAAAATGAAGTAAGATAAAAGCAGGTAAAATGAAGTAAGATAAAAGCAGGTAAAATGAAGTAAGATAAAAGCAAGATAAAAGCAGGTAAAATGAAGGATTAAAATGAAGTAAGATAAAAGCAGGTAAAATGAAGGATTAAAATGAAGCAAGATAAAATCAGGTAAAATGAAGGAGTAAAATGAAGGAGTAAAATGAAGGAGTACCAGGTTGCGCTTCTCCAGCTCGTCCAGCTGATGTCTCATGTTGACCTGGTTCTGAGTTAGGTGCTGGACCAACATGTCGTTCTCCTGTTCCAGCCTGGCAACACGGTTTGTTATTAGTGGGGGGGGGGGGGGGGGGGGGGCAACACGGTTTGGTACTAGTCGTTCCTGTTTACAATTCGCACCAAAATTGAGAAATATATTGTTCTTTCCTACTTATTTCCTTGGCTGACGTCGACTAAAGTAATATATATGATTTTAAGTTATTTATCAAGATGGGGTCAGGATATTTAGTGCTGAAACTCAAAAGTGAAATAAGAAATCCCCCGGCTCAGAGAGACCTGGAGTGAGCGGGGCCGGGGGGCCGGGGGGGGCCGGGGCGGGGGGGGGGGGGGGGGGGATCATACACTTAGCAGTACCTGTGGTTGTTCTCCATGGACTTTTTCAGATCGTGTTCTAATCTTCTGACCGGATCTTCTAGACTCCGCTTCTCGTCCTGAAGCAGGTTCTTTAGAAAATACTAAAATGTTGCATAAAAAGTTGCTGGGCGTAACAAAAGAGTACAAAGGTAGACGTCTATTTCTAGGTTAAAGTGAGTTGCCACTTCAACCTAAGTTTTATAAGTTTTATCTAAATACAAGTTCTACAAGTTTTATCTAAATACAAGTTCTACAAGTTTTATCTAAATACAAGTTCTACAAGTTTCATCTAAATACAAGTTCTACAAGTTTTATCTAAATACAAGTTCTACAAGTTTTAAAAACAAAAATAGCTAATTTAATGGTAATGAGTTAGATACAATATAATATAATCTAAACTAAAGATAAACCTGGATTTTATGGAACTGGGCCTCCCACACAGCCACTTTGCCGGGTTTAATCTTTACTGAAGCAGCGGTTGAAAGTAGCTTGTGACCTTGTTTCTTATTCATAAACCTCTTGGGGAGAGACACTCGGAAATACTTTAGCATTTCTGAAAGTAACACGCTATGAAATAGTTTTTAATCTTGGAAATTACTCAATGAAACTTGGAGGTGAGAAGATTGGTCTAGGGTCATAATAAATTCACTCCTGCTCAGTTGATTTCAACATGGTTTATAACTGAGTTTCATAGTTCAATGGAGGATTGTAAAATAAAAGACAGTTGATTTTAAAAACGCGTGAAATAACATCTCAATGTCTACTCCACAAGAAATGCGCGATTTAAAGCGCATCATATCATCCCTTACCTTCAAAATCCTGTGATATCAGCTCATTTCTAGACAACTTTAGCAGAGACACGGCTATTTTGAATAGTGTGTCGGGACCTTCGGTCAGGAACATGTCAACTATTCGGTACACCAGAGCTGAAAATTAAATATTTAGATGAAATGTTAGAAAGACTTGTACAGTTACTTGTACTCATAGCTGAAATCCTTGTTTTAATAAATCACACCAATTAGACAATCATGAAAATGTTACGTTTTTAGAGAGACCAAAGCATCAAGATTCAAAGTGACCATTTATAATGCAAGTGTCTAGTGGGCAGTTTATTATTTATATATATATATATATATTATAATATTATTTATTTGCAAATTACCTAAAGGGAATTTAGCGCTGAATAAGGTGAGAAACCACTGACTCGCGTACATGTGCGTGTTCAACTCATGCTCCTGGGGAGTAAAGAGGTGTTTTGGGGAAGATGATATGAAGTAAAGTAGGAACTTGTCTGTTATATTTCCAAAGTTGATATTTAAGAATGTAAAACTCTGCGATTTATTGAATGATTTATATTTTAAACGTTATTCTGAATCATTACATCAGATCATGTAAATGTAATGATTCAGAATAACGTTTAAAATAGAAAATAGAAAAACATTCTAAAATGATTACATGTCTTAATCAGTTTATTTCAAAACCAATCTGTCAGTTTCAATAATAAACCTGGAAGTGTTCCCAGAGATCTGGCATTTGATCTTCGATTATTCTCTCCAAAATGTAAAACTTGAGTTGCAGCATCTGAAATCCTGCAGAGTTTTTGGTTATTTATTTATATCGTATAAAATAATACAGTTAGATAATGCGTGGGATGCTGTAGTTCTGTAGTCAAAATATAATTTTAAAGGAACATTCCAGTCGAATCTAACTTGGCGATATTTACTATTAAGTGGGACAGATATACACACCTGGCTACGGTTAAACCTTGGCAAACCAACAAATTAGAAGACATATTAACATGTGAAAAATAACGTATTCTAGTTTTGGCACATCAAAGATATTTGTATCAAAGATCGTCTGCTCGATAAAAATTACAGGAGCAAATGGGTTTCTTTTGGATTGACACCTTACGATTACCAAGAACATTCCTGTCATTACTTAAACCACCTAAATGTTTCCCTCAGCCACATTCTCTCAAGATCATTTAGTTTGCTAATCTTATTAATTTTTCAAAACGCAATGAAATATTTTATCGTTCTCTCCGTGGTGGTTGCTATGGCCGCAGCGATGGCTGTCCGGGATATTCAAGACAGGCCTGATGGTCTCCAAGGATACTTCAGCACTGTGATGGAGATCTACATGAAACTAAAGCAGCTGGGTAAGTTTTACTTTTACACTTTACAAATTTGGCGATTAATTCGTAAGTAGAAAAGATATCATCACCGAAGCATTGAACTTATTACAGTAACTATTCCGAACAGTTTACATTATATATCAGTTCTAATTCCGCATTCCTCTGTAACCCAATAACATTCCAACGTGAAATTCCTTCTCTCTCGCAGGACGTGAAACAGTTTGTGGGCAGACAGTCAGTGAACTTATTGACGTGCTGAGGCTACCAAGAATGCTTGATAGCGTGGTGGGCGTTGCTCGGGGCTGGATTTGTAACAGCATTCTCAGTTAGTCCCACGAACCAGCATACAGCAGAGGAAGGAATGAATTTTATAGATATTCCGGGGGGATTCGGCATGACTGGTTGAATCCCCCCGGTTGTTACTGATTTGAAAGTTTTTATTTTGAAATTAGTATTTTATCTTATAGTTTGAAGTGAACGAGAGGATAAAAACAGCAAAACACAAAAGTTTGCACAAAAATGATAAAAATATATGCTCTTATTCGGAGTCCCTGAATTATAACTAAATAAATTCTAACAACGTCTAAGTAACCGTGGTTCCAAACTTACTAATTGTTGGAAATAATAAAATAAGAGGTAAAGAAGTATAACAGAAACCAGAGAAATTAAGAAAACAAAACCGAAGATTACAGCATCGTCATATGATTAGCAATTGCCTGTCTTACATAGAGGCAGTGGTAATCGCACTATATAGTGACAACACTATATAGTGACAAGCACTTTATAATGACAACTGATCTTTGTCACCATATAGTGTGCAAAACGCACTATATAGTGACAGCACCATATAGTGACAAGTTTATCTTGTCAGAGGCGATAACAGCCGGGTTAGCTAAAACAATATCCTTGTCCTTCTTTCCAGTATTCAAAAGCACTGTTGCCAGCAGTTGTACCCCTGCAATCCCCACAAACAAGCTGACCACAGATACAGAGCTTATTGGATACAGCAGGTACGTGAGGAATGAGCCGACTGTCCCACCTGTTTCTCCAATCCCATGAATAAACGATGTAGCTGTGCTTCTAACTGCAGCCGGATATCCTTTCACGGAAATCGACCAGAGAAGGATCCGTGAACCGGTCACGCACAGACGAAGTAGCATGCTAAAAATGACTTTGAAGATTTCATTTAAATCAAAAACAGCCGATACGGTGGTTACAAGGGCCAAAGCAGCAAAACTAGCGACAACGAGTTTATTTCCAAACCTTTTCCCCAAAAACACTGTCATGACACAACCTACAACGTCCCCTAAAAAAGCTATGAAACTTTGTAGGGGGGGGGGGGGTCCAAGGGGAACTTTGGGGAGTTTTGGGGAACTTTTTTTTGGGGAACTTCAGGAAACCTGGGGGACTTTCCCAAAGTTCCCCAAAAAATTATCAATGAAACAAATAATTTTGGGGAATTTTGGGGAACTTTTTTTTGGGGAACTTCAGAAAGTTCCCCAAAATTCCCCAAAGTTCCCCAAAAAAATTATCATGCCAAAAAAATTATCATGCTGCAAGTATCAACAAGTAATTTAAGATTATACCTTATAATAACATACATGTTAACATTAATGGGTATTAATGTATATTAGAGAAATTTTGAATAATTTTAAATAATTTTGAATAATTTTGAATAATTTTGAATAATTTTGGGGAATTTTGGGGAACTTTGGGGAGTTTTGGGGAACTTTTTTTTGGGGAACTTCAGAAATCTTGGGGGACTTTCCCAAAGTTCCCCAAAGTTCCCCTTGGACCCCCCCCCCCCCCTTTGTAAGATCTCTTTCCTGTCAAGAACTTCACCGCACGAAGTTTCATTCAAAGTGGGAAAGTTTGGCAGCTCTTCGGTATCTGCTGAGGCTAGAGGAAGGTATGCCGCGAATGCTAAGTATATGTAAAGGTTTGCAAAGTAAATAATTGTGAGAAGTATGGTAAGCCTCCTAAATTCACGATGAAATATCCGAGAGAACCTTCCTGCTTTTTCGAGACTGGCCGCTTTAATAGACAAACAGCTCTCTGGAAAAGACACCCCATTCCATTTGTACATCTTCTTTAACAACTGCAAAGCTTCTTCGCCTTTACCACGGACGAGCAAGAAGCGTGGAGTCTCTGGAGCCAGGATGAGACCAATGATGAGGAAAGGTAAGGGAGTTGAAACTACTGCTACCAGATACCGCCATCCAATCTCATTCAGAGCAAAGTATGATACCAAGGCTATAAACACCCCACCGAACTGAGCGCCGACCCCCACCGACAAAATGGCTAACTCATTATTCTTGGAATCTGTAATTTCAGCAGCATAGATGTAAGCTACAGGGTATCCCATGCCAATAGATATTCCCTGCAGAATTCTGCCAGCAAGTAATACCCAAACGTTGGGTGAAGCAGCAATTGCGATGGAGCCAAATGCCAAGAAAACGGTTGTTACCAAGAGGACCATTTTTCTTCCAAATTTATCAGCAAGATTTCCAGCCACAACTCCACTGACGGTTATAAATACAGGGCAGGAAGATCCAATCACCGCTTCAAGACCGGAGTTTAAGTCCCATTCACAGTGTAGATAGGGCATTAGAATAGCGGTTTGAAAATAAACAGAGAGTTGCATCATGGTAACAAGAGATACTAAGGTCCACAAAAAGAGTTGGGTTTTTCCTAAACCCGATCCCCGGAGAAGATCATTGAGACTCATTTCTTGTTCAGCATTATTTTCGCCGATGGTTTCATCTTTTGATCCTCTATCTTCTTCATCTAAAGCATATGGTGACGCTGACTGTGTCCGATCAATCATCGTAAGAGTTGTCAAACCTAATCGAAGCTCAATTTATAATAGGTAGAATTAATTATTCCATACACATTATATTTAATTAATTAGGGGTATATAATTAGTGGGATACTGATGTATAGTTCGTAGTTGTAGTAGAAACACAAGATAATCAGGAATGATAAAATATAACAGAATGAACAGATAACGGAATCCGTTCCAGATCTTAACAGAATTTGTGTTACGTTCCTGGAAACACGTACAACGAAGACCTTCAGGAAATTGTTGTGCGATAAGACATTCAAAATTAATTAAACAACGATCAGACTTGGTTCTGGAAGTTCATCAAGATAATAGGGAATCACGCTTTTTCATCTCATGGGTCCATAAAGTGGAGCCATTTCAATTATATTAATTGTGAACCCCTCCGTTCCTCAGAAACTGGAATGTTGCACTTTTAAAGAACTCCGCGATTATCCAGAGCAGTTTATCCAGAGCAGTAATTCTACCCTCAAGATCGCAGCCAAACCAACATAATGAGATAAACAATAAGAATATTATTTAGCAGGGGTTTCAACTCGCTTACACCCCAGTTCCATGACCGGATATTATGCCAAATTATTAGACGGAGGTCCATTTCCCGTAGATCATCTCCGGAGATGATTCTCCGGCTCCGTCTACTGTATTAGACGGAGATGAAGCTCTCCGGGAATTTCTCGGAGATTCATTCATACAGAATCATACAGAATCAACAAAATTACCGTAGATGGTCTCCGGTCGTGGAACTGCAAACCGGAGAAATATCCGGAGAAATATCAGTAGACGATCTCCGTCTAATAATTTGGCATAATATCCGGCCATGGAACTGGGGTGTTACATTTAAATTAAACGAAGTTTAATCTCAAATAAAACTTTTCAAAAATATAAATCATGATTCGGTTTTTTTCTTTTTTAGGACAGATTTTACTTTTGAATTGTTTTTTTCTTTCTTAATTATTCTAGTGTCAGTTGTCACTTGAAATATTATGATGGTCTAACACAAAGTATCTCCAGAACTTGCCCAAACAAGGAAATAATTATGACTCTATGTTCACAATCCGTCGATAAAACAATAAAATAAAAAGTACTTTACCAAGCAGCAACCTGATGTCTCAAATAATAACTTTAAATCTATTTTTAGAAATTAGAATTTTTTCAATATGTTTTATAACCCACCTTTCTTGAACATATCTCTAAACTGGTACTCCTGCATGATAACCGTAAAGAGTGCAAACGCCTTCTCTTCCTCCAGATGAAGCAACAAGACTGCCACTATGAACGATAGGCCTTGACAGTACCCAACCTGTAACATCACTTTTAACATTGTTTAATTACTGAACAAACGTTGATGGATTTGGTATTCATTAATAACAAATTTGTCCAACTTTTCAAGAATACGACTCAATTTCGAGCTGAAGTTTGGATTCTATATAATGTAAACAAACAATTATCACCTCCCCGCCAGTATCCACATCTATTCATCAACCAATTAATCAACACAAACAAATAACATTGAATATATTTAACAAATAAATCCTACTGACCTCCTGATCAAATCCAGCGTAACTCTTGCACACTCGATAGAGTTGCTGCTGTCCGCCATTTCCTTCTTTAAAATATTCGTTTCCAGGAAATGTCCGGTTCAAATCCCATATAATCACCTGAGGATTAGAAGATAAACTTAACTAACGTACAATGTATAATGATACATTTAACCAATTATGACTACTCAGAATTGTCTGTAGCATTTCGACACGAGAAGGTGGCTGATTGTGTATTTCATTTTCCATGTTTTCTTCCTCATGGGAGATGTTGTGGTCTTTTGTAAATGTAACTGTAATACATTGATGTAAAGTTTATTTGAATTTTGAAATAAAATATTAAAAAGAGGTCTGCTGTAACTACTCATTAATTATAATAATAAAATTATTCAAACAATATACACATAATATAGCAATGACCCTATATAAAATCAACCCTTAAAGAATTCAAAAAATTCCCTTAACAATCAAAAATTACCCTTGGCCTTGTGGCTCCAAGTTAAGATCTAGACTGTTTATATCAACAATGTTTTTTCTTGCACCCCTGTCTCCACGGAGAGAAATCACTGTTGTTCTAAGGATTTCAAAGCGAAGGCGCTTTCTGATGTATCCTACAGCGTCTGAGTACCTCTGGCCAGTGTGGTACTCCATCTTACTGGCCAGCTTCTTGACCAGTCTCTCAGCTTCACCACCCACTACTCATTCGCCAAAATCGGGCAATCAGTGACTGTCGACTGAGCTATAAGGGCCAACGCATGTAACGTTACTTTTGCCCCCCCCCCCCCCCCCACCGTATATATATACTAGATAATATACTAAGGTATAGACATTAGACAGATCAGTGTGCACCTGACGATGGCACTTGATAGACTGGTCAGAGCGGCAGGCCAGTGTGTATGGACTGCGCACTGTCCACCTTACTGAAGATAATATTATGAATGTGTCTGTAGATAATATTATGTATGACTGGAGATAATATGTATTATAACATTTCCTTCCTTTCGGGGAAACCTTATCTCTACAAATAATTATGTTTGGTTTACGGAATATTGGGAGACTAGGTTTGGCAACGACACGGCCTCGATACGGTATATAATATGTATTTTTGTCTAGGAGAATCGTTAAATACGCTGTAAGAAGATGACGATCAGACCTCGTTATAGAATCGTTAAATGGTTGAATTTTGACCGTTTTTCTCTCATCATGGTGCTGAAAATTATCAATCAATTTTTTTCAGGGGTTCAAAGGAGAGTGGATGACAGTGAAAGATCACGTGTTGTATGTTGGAGGGTTTGGTAAACCATGGACCACTCCCACGGGGGATATAGTGAACTACGACCCTATGTGGGTCAAGGTAAGAACCACCACTTTTTATCGTTATGAACGTTGAAAACTGGTCGCTACGTTGAAACTGGTCGCTACGGCAAAAAGCGGTTTAACATCGGGCCTGCAGACATTGCTGCTCAAGCGACGATGACTTGTTAGATCTTCTCTATGAGCTACCAGGGGCCTATCCAGTGATAGAAGATGAGCATCACATCCTCTACGAATGCCCCCTATACGAAGACCTACGCAAAAACCTGCATCAACGAACGAGGGACCTGTTAGTAATGAGAGAAGAACCGGGAGAAATCTTCGACGACTCAACATCAATTAGAGACATTGGACGTTTTTTAAATAAGGTCGATGAACGGAGGTTCCCGAAGAAAAATACTGAATGAATGTCGTGTTTTGTATTTGATAAGTGGGTGGACATTGTATGATACTTTCTTTGTCATTGTTGAGTGCTCTTGGCTGAGATTTTTCTGCATACGACTGTGCTATCTGTGCTAATTCTTATGCATGGCTATCTTCTTTTACCACCTTGTTTGGTTATTCTTTACATTGGAGTAGTTTTGAAAATTAAACCCTCTATTCCTGTATTGGTCAGACACGGCATCTGCCGTTTGACCCAATTTTGTTTAATTCCTGTTTAATTCCTGTCGTTATTTTATCTTGATTCCAATCTCTTACACTGAGATAGGTTAGTTAATGTCACGTGAATTTAATCTTGTGCTGTGATCTATGTCACATGACTGGATTACTGCTAGCTGATAGGTCGTTACCTAGGTGATATCTTCGGACGGCGTGGTGGAGCACAGGTTCTGGAAGAAAAACTACGAGGCTCTGAGGAGAGCTGCTGGTATCAGTTACCCTGGTTACATCTACTATGAGGCTGGTTAGTTTAACTAACCAATTTATTTAGATCGAATAAAAAGATCACGAAAAAACTGTTAACTCAAAATGTCAAATTTAATTTTAGTGACAAACGTTTCGAAACATTTTTTAATAAATTATCAAAATCAACGTCATACCCTTAAATGATATTCACTAATCACTATACAATTAGCGCATGCTAGAGTCTAGTTCGACACGCACTCTAGTTTGACAACTTAAGTTCGCCAGAAATCACCCCTGTCGAACTTCGGTACGTGTCGAACTAGAGTACCTATACCTCACTATACAAGGGTAAAGGAAAGTCAGGATGACTAAAATTACTATAGTTCAATAACTCAAAGTCTGTTTTATAAACACTGTAAAGTTGTTCCACTAGGTCTGGGTCTAATACAGAAAGCCACTCCTTAGCATATAAAGCCGAGCTCTGAAGCCTCGGGTCAGAGGACTTATCATAGGAACCCAATACTGACGTGTTACTAGCGTTTATTTTCCTCAGAATCTCACCTCCCAACGGTCCTGTATACTCTAGAGGTATTACCATGTCGTATTTTACACGTGGAAGACACGTGGTTTTGATTTGAGGAGAAAAGTGGACGTTGACTGCGCCTTTGTATTTAACAAGCCAAGCAGCGTATTCCGCGAAGGTTGGGTGCAATTCCTCCTTCTTAACAACGGACACACTGATATTTCGCATTTGCTGAACTATTTGAATACCAATACTTCTTTTACTCGCACCAGGCGAATCTTCGCCAGACAGCTTATCCCGATAACCTGATACCATTCGCGTCCAGGGGTTCCGGAGCACGATGAAACTGAAAGCGCTTCTGAATGTTGTGTCATTGTATGTTCGCTTCATAGTTCGTATTCTGTGTCTTTCTGACATACCGCCGTGCACCTTTTTCATCTGGCTAGGAGCGAGTTCTCTTGTCAAATCCCCTTCAGCACGCAGCAGCGATTCTATCCAATGTGTGCAGCCGGTTTTGGGAATTCCCGTGAAAATTGTGTTTATTTTCTGAAAGTAATAAGTTTTAGGTCCGCAAGAGCTCCACAAACTGTCAGGACTGTACTTGAGATGCAGTTCTGATAGCGCTTTCTGGAACTGCTCCTTTATCCACTCTTGTGAAGGGGGGACAAGGTAGATGTCCTTGTGTTGTGGTGGACCAGGCTCTGATTGGTTAGAAGAAATTTCTGTTGCATACTTGTGTCGAGAGGGATCGGAGGGTTGCTTTTCTGAAATCGGTCCGAGAGAATCCTTTAAAGATGATTCCTCAATAGTAATGATGGAAGGAGCATCTGAAACATGTCTCGAGGGTCGAAGAAGAAAAACAATAACAATACACGACAACACCATCAAAGCGATCGTCTTCTTGCTCAGAGATACATCATGGTCCGCCATAATGCCAGTCACGTGTCACGTGGGCACCACCTGAATAACGTGTTATCACAACACCTCTACTACACCTGTACTATAACACTACTACACCTTTACTATAACACAGCAGCACAACAACAACTGTACGACGAGCAGGCCTAGAACGAGCAAACCTAGAAAAGTGCAATAATATGTTTCCAAATAAATGCAAATCGAGCTCGGTTTCGAACACAATGCTATTACTCGTACTCGGAGATAAAGGCAAAAAATATTAGCCCTTTTAAGGAGGAGGAAGTTAGAGTCCAGTAGAGGAGGGGCCTGCACAGACCGCGTCACAGAACACACAGACCGAGTCACAGAACACCACACAGCACAGTGTATTGTTATTAAATGTTATCTGCCACGTGCCATGAGGTGAGGTGGTCAATTCTGCTGGTCTGAATGACACTCTATTTTCAGGAGGCATGTATGCGAAGAGTGAAAAGAGGAGAGTGTTATATTACATTGTGTTCCGACGGTTGCATTACCACGACAGATTCAATGTGGTAAAATGGCTGACGTTGATGCAAGTGGGGACTGTATGACAGCGTGTTATTTAAAACTAAATAATGAGTACACATCCGGATTCCGGGTTATTATCTAAATACTACTAGTTAAAGGCAATAAATCTAGAATTTGTTGAGTGCATAAAAAAAAGAAAATCTAGAGTAACTCCCTACGAACCATGATTATTTTTGTGAAGATGAGATGAGCCACCTAATTAATTACGCATATCTGGCCAGAAAATCGCGGCAGTATTAAATTTCAACTTCTACAAGGTGTTTCAAGAATTGTGTCAAAACGTTCAAAACCGCTCAAAATTTAACGGGTTAGACCAACTTTTTCCTTGTTTAGCTTGTATATTGCAATTTGAGTTACTGGTAAAAACCTTCTTCTGTCTCACACGTGCCTTTGAACAGATCTTGAGATCTGATTCTTCATTAAAACAGGGATTAAACTTTCAAATTTAGACACTAGTATTGAAATACCATGTATCAGCTCACTGCCATGTGCCGTGTACGCAAAATTCAATCCGCGCATACTGCATACAAAATGGAGCCATGACAATAAATTCAATTATACAATTTCGCAATACGAATGAAAACAATTAGTACACCCAAAGACAAAGAGCCTTGCTAATACGACCTCGAGAATAACGGGGCTTATTTAACACTAGCAGAGCAATTAAAAACCATGCAGTAGCACTCACCGCCAGCATGGGTGTACTTATAAGTACATTTAGAAATTTGAGTTTATGAGCCGCATTCCTTTCATCATTGTAACATACACAGTAGTTGAGTATTATTATCATACTTATATAATACTTAACTATATATATATATATATAGTTAATAGCTCGAAACTAATGAATAGGAGCTTTCTATAAGCGTGACAAAGTAAACGATGTTATCGTTCAACTAAAAGTTTCATGTGGATGTGTGAACAACAATCTTCAGATACATAATTACAATTAAATGCAATTTTAATTGTAATTATGTCCCTGAAGATTGTTGTTCAATGTACAAACACGCTTGTATACTTAAAATGTTAAATATAAATATATAATAATTATACTTTAATAATTATACTTTTATTATGACAATTGCGATAATCGAAACGGAATATAATACGTTTAGTAGGGCGGGAGACTTCACATTTTTTAAATTGATATATTGATAAATACGCAGGAGTTACAAATTATAATTTTTGGCTAAGGATACAATAAGTGGCGTAACGACTGCCCCCGAATTTGAAGTGTTTTTAAAATAAAAAACGCCCGATTTCTTTATTATCCCGCCCACGTTCGGGCGAAAAAATATTTGAGTAAAAAATGTGTCTGACTAGGCCACTAGAAAATGTTTAAGGGCGACAATAAATATTGCGGGACGGCACATGGGTACGTTTTGCAATACGTGACATAATCATAATTTACGCACTACACATCAACAAAATGAAACGACAGTCGAAACAATTTGCACTCGTGATTATAAAATAAAACGCAATGGTCACGTGCTTGCAATGGTGCTTGTAATGGTCACATGCTTACATCCGAGGGTGGCCCCTCGGACGCAAGCTTAGGTCTATACTTCCACTTGAATCAATCGTTTTAAATGGTAACGCCAATGGTACTCGTACATTGTAGGGAAAATTGATCGTGCGTGGTGTAACAGCGGCAAAATTCTTGTTCAAGGCTAACAATTACACTCAGTTTTTTTAATAAATACGGTTTATTTTGGCGAAAGCTTCAGCGGTTTAATTTTGACCATTTTGAAGGCTTCGCCGTCTTTAATTCATCGCAACCCGTCTTTCAATTTGCTGGTAGAAGTAAGTTTATTGTGTGAGATGTGCTTTATTACATCCGATCTACATATTTTGAGACCTATTGTGGCATCTTTAATTTTTCAATTTTGAAGCCTTACCGTCTTTATTTTTTTTCCATTTGAAGGCTCCGTCTTTATAAAGGGCGTCTTTATAAAAACAAACTGAGTTTATTTTTAGAGCATTCAAAAACGGGTATTTTTCACATGTTCTAATCGACCATACTTTGCTGCCTGCAAGTCAACTAATGAAGAGTAGCAGTGTTGAAAATAAGAATGTAAGCAAACATGAGGACCAAAATAACTTGAAATATCTTCTACATCATGGAACAGTGTGCTTTTTGTTCATTAGCAAGTCCCCCTCCCATATTATTAAAACTCAACATCAGAGTTAGCTAGGCACCCTGATATAGTGCACTTTAGAACAGCTTATCATACAGACAACTCATTATCTATCTTTATCTCAGCCCTGGCTAGACATGAAACACTTCATCTTAACACCTGCCAAAATACCGGGTAAGTTAAAAAAAATTAATAGTATTTCACCTGTTCGTGGGGACACTCGTGTAGTCTGCTTTCGTCGTACAAATGTTTGTAGTTTTCTTCTATGTCAGCCTCCTTGAGTCCCCCTAATCTCATCCACACTGTAGCACGTAGACTGTTTGGAATGCCCTGCAATAAATCTAAGTTATTTTTCCTTCTTGTTGCTAAAATCTTTTCAAGACTATACAACTCAATACAAGATGAGAAAAATAAAGATTTGAGTTCTTTTCGTTTATATTTTCAATCTAAATTCAATTGAATAACCGCTTTTTCAATAATGGAACCGAATTATGCAGAATCATCAATCAAGCAAACCAGTTTTATAATTCTTGTGTTTACATTTTGAAACGAAAGTGATCTCTGATCACGTACATTACATAATTAACAAAAAATTAAAGAGCCTGAGCGCGCGCGGAGAGCACTTTCATAACAAGTGATTAATTTGGATCTAGCGCTCAGCAGTCGATACAAGAATTTTGTGACCGGACAGAAAGTAATTACGATCGATGTCAGGCTCTCCCACTATTTGCATAACTACTTATACTATGGATGTCGACCCATATTTGTACAGATCTTCGTAGACATAATACAAAAAACTTGCTACTACCAGGTGAGGGACACCGAGCACACAGTGGCTGACCTAGGTCCTTATAGGCCTATAATCCAAGAAAACCTGTTATAGAGAGATGCTAAATAGTTGGCACACCGGATGTTTACACATAGAGTGATAGTTTTACACGATGCCATACATTCTTACATTCTTACATTGAAACATCACGAAATTAACTTAATAAACATTGCGGTGGTATGCTTGTAACTGTTTTAACAACAAAAAATTCTACTGTTAAAACCAATTAAGTTTAACATTAACCAAAATACATAATCCAAAAGTAACTCACTTTTCTGGCAAGTTTGACCAGCTCTGGAGGTCTAGTACAGTAATCAGTCCAACTATCAAGCAGCGTGTTCCATGTTTTGAGTGTTTCCTCCGACGCCTCCTCGATACCATCCCCACTTCCAGATATCAATGGTTCTTCGTCTGTAGGATAAAAAAGGCATTAATTTAAGTTGTTCAAATGATTTTGCGATTAATTTTCTATAATATTCCCTTATATAAGGGAAATAAGAGTGTCGTAAATACTCCTCACTATGCAATTATATTATAACCAGTTTTACTCTGTTAATATGTAGACTGTAAATCTGGCACGGTTTCTTGTCTGAGATCAAACAACAGGCCGGTTGCCATGTTGTGACGAGAGTGAGAGTGTGTGAGAGAGAGAGAGAGAGAGAGAGAGAGAGAGAGAGAGAGAGAGAGAGAGAGAGAGAGAGAGAGAGAGAGAGAGAGAGAGAGAGAGAGAGAGAGAGAGAGAGAGAGAGAGAGAGAGAGAGAGAGAGAGAAACTTGATATATCCGATCTCAACTTGACGATTTAATTATTGAACAGAGCCACGTTATCATAATCTACTTTTGACAGGGCTGTGTTAAGGGGGCGTACACCAAATCTGTCCAATCCAAATGACCTCATAGGCAGTTCGGTGACCATCTAGCGCACTGTTTCCACATCAAAAAAATCATTTTGAGGATACCCATTTTTGTAATCGAGCATTTCCTGTACTGGTTAGAGTGGAATTTTTGGAAAAACACAATTTGTTTCGTGGAGAGGCTATAAGTTAATCATTTCTTGCGGTATTGGGTTGAAATTTTGCACGCCGACTATTCACATCTATTTCAAGGTGTGTTATAAATTTTTAAAGTTAAAAAAAGTCAAAAAGTTGAAATTGTCCTTTTCAGACTTATTTTAACCAAAAGGTCAGTCAGGGAAGATCGGATTGATTTGATGGTTGACATGAACTTGTTCTCTGAATTCTGGCGCAGTTTTTGATGCCCTCAAAAATGTTTTTCCTCATTCATCTTCAGATCTATTGGACTTCAAAGCCAAACAACAAATTTAGGCAGATTTTTCGTTTTTCATATTTACTGATTTTTCTAAAATTTTGATAGGAATGTGCTAGTGACTTTTTGAAGGGTGCAAAATAACCACAACTAGCACATTTATATATGAGTTATGAACAACAAAACACCCTAAAATGCTTCCCTTAGAAGTTATGGGAGAAAATGTGATTTTTTATCTGCAAAGCCAAAAAATCACATTTTCTGGCTCGACAGTTTGCGATGCATGTTGGGGACATGGCGTAATAAGACAGGGAAAAATTAAAAATATATCCAAAAAAATGTTCAAGAATTTTGACCATACTTTTCTAGGGATGCCTAATAAACTAAACTCCATATTTGTGGGAAACTTCTCGAAATCCTGGGCCTATAAGTTTCTAACCACCTTTTTAATTACGAATCAATCAATCAACGTAACCTGGTATTAGGTATTGATTACAGTTACTTGGACATAACTTGATCTCACATATATTGGCTCAGCAGAGAAATCATAAAATAAAAACAATCTATTTCTGCTGAATTTGATGAGCTGAGCCCACAAACAACAAAGAGCTACGAATAGTCAGCATAACGGTTGTCAAGGCTGCAAACTGCAAACTGAATCATTTCAGCAGAAATAGTGAGCCATACCGATACCCAACGTAACAATACAGTTATAATTACTATTAAAACAAACCTTCGGATTCAGTCATATCATCCGAGTAATCATCCCCGACCCCAAACCCAGCAAACAGGGACTTGAGACGTCCGGGCGATGACGTCATCGGTTTCTCTGTGACACTGTCTAGACTGAATCTCCTGTGCTTGTCTTCTGTATTCTAGGACAGATTACTTGTTTAAATGTAGTCACTTTTCAGTAGTTTTGTTTCAAGGTTGCAAATTAAAACGATAAAGATAACAGTAAATATCTAGAGGTGCAGACCATGAGGTTACAGAGATCTAACACACTAATTTACAAACACATTTACCGATGGTTGGCACAGATTACAGAGTAAAATAGGCTAGACAATACAAATACTTCAAACACGTAAACAAACCAAACTGCAGCACATTACAGAATACGACGGGTATTTAACGAGTACACAGGTATTTAACAAGGACAGGTATGTAGTACGGTATTATACCCTGCCTATCAGTAAATACAGGTTCACTGTAGCCCAAAGTAAAGTAACTAAATGTACCGGGCTGTGAATTACGCAACTGAAGTAACCAAAGTAAAGTAACTAAATGTACCCTGTGAATTACGCAACTAAAGTAACCAAAGTAAAGTAACTAAATGTACCCTGTGAATTACGCAACTAAAGTAACCAAAGTAAAGTAACTGAATGTACCCTGTGAATTACGCAACTAGAGTAACCAAAGTAAAGTAACTAAATGTACCCTGTGAATTACGCAACTAAAGTAACCAAAGTAAAGTAACTAAATGTACCCTGAATTACGCAACTAAAGTAACCAAAGTAAAGTAACTAAATGTACTCTGTGAATTACGCAACTAAAGTAACCAAAGTAAAGCAACTAAATGTACCCTGTGAATTACGCAACTTAAGTACACAAAGTAAAGTAACTAAATGTACCCTGTGAATTACGCAACTTAAGTATCCAAAGTAAAGTAACTAAATGTACCCTGTGAATTACGCAACTAAAGTAACCAAAGTAAAGTAACTATATGTACCCTGTGAATTACGCAACTAAAGTAACCAAAGTAAAGTAACTAAATGTACCCTGTGAATTACGCAACTAAAGTAACCAAAGTAAAGTAACTAAATGTACCCTGTGAATTATGCAACTAAAGTAACCAAAATAAAGTAACTAAATGTAGCCTGTGAATTACGCAACTAAAGCAACCAAAGTAAAGTAACTATATAATGTACCCTGTGAATTACGCTACTAAAGTAACCAAAGTAAAGTAACTAAATGTACCCTGTGAATTACGCAACTAAAGTAACCAAAGTAAAGTAACTAAATGTACCCTGTGAATTACGCAACTAAAGTAACCAAAGTAAAGTAACTAAATGTAACCTGTGAATTACGCAACTAAAGCAACCAAAGTAAAGTAACTATATAATGTACCCTGTGAATTACGCTACTAAAGTAACCAAAGTAAAGTAACTAAATGTACCCTGTGAATTACGCTACTAAAGTAACCAAAGTAAAGTAACTAAATGTACCCTGTGAATTACGCAACTAAAGTAACCAAGGTAAAGTAACTAAATGTACCCTGTGAATAGCGCAACTAAAGTAACCAAAGTAAAGTAACTAAATCTACCCTGAATTACCCTGAACGATAATGTATCCTGTCATCACTGCTCGTGTGACGGATATTATGTTGTGATTTCTTCTAATTCTCTACGACTGTGTTGTGATATCATTACAAGTGTCAGAGTGTTTTGTAAGGTTTCACTGTGACTATTTTCTGAATTCCCAACGTGGTGATTTGGGGAAATGGATTATTAATTAGGTGCAGACGTCGAAGGCAGAGTTTACAAACATGTTTAAATCACAACAAAACATACCAGGAATGTTAAAAATGCGGAACAAATTCTCAGGAGATTTAGAAAATCTAAAAGCAATATACCACATGTTTTCAAAACAAACCCCTAAACATATCTGATATATTCTTAGCATCTGGCTTCTGCAGTATACTAAAGTCACTATTGTGACGGTACATTAGAACTAGACAGAAACAAAGTGTGAAGGGCCTGAACGGAACCCCTCTGTTTCAGTTCCTTGTTTATATATATAATACTCACTAATTTTATAATACTCACTAATTTTATAATACTCACTAGTTTTAGTTTGACAGTGTAGCTCTGCTGGCTGAGATATCTGGAAGCCAGGAAGAACCTCTCCGTTTCCGGGTAAATCTTGAACTGTGTTTTACGCTCGAATCTGATGGGATCCAGTACACCTGATGCCACTACATCTATAGCTAGTGTCACTGATCTTGTACCTTGCAGTGGGAAACGGTCAGTTTTATTACTTTATTAGGTGAAACTAAAAGTTTATGGCGCAGCATTAGAAATTACTACTATATACACATGATGCAAAAAAGTTTGGCACTAAATTTCTAACTTTTCTTATCAAGTTATCAAAGTTGTTGTTCATGTCATTGTGACTGTTGTTTGTGTAAAAATTAACGCATGACTACTAAATGAATCCGTTAAATGAATAATACGAAATTTAGTAGTGAGCATTTTATGGGTACTGGGATGGAAAAGCTTCATCCAAGGAATACGGTTACATAATATTATATTTAGGACAATAAACGGTTACATAATATTATAATTAGGACAATAACCGGGTTAAACGAAATTTGAAACCTAATGCAAAATAAGGTTTACAGTCCCTTCCCGACCCAATCTACAGAATAAATCAAAATCAAGCAGTAAAATCACAAAGTGGATACAAAGATATTACGAAACCAGGTGTAACCAGCATTTCACAAGACTGACTAGCAAAATTATAACACTTCGACAGTGTACACCATGTAACATAGCACAATAGCAAGAACATTATGTGCACAAATACAAGGCTTACCGGGTCACCTTGCGTACAACATATTGTCAGACTACATGCTACTACACAAAATAACTTTCACGTGCATTATCCCCACAGGATCATCAGTACCAGATCTACCAAAGCCAAATTAAAGTAACAATGTGGCACTGTGCCAACAAACAGTTTGGGTTCATCAATAATATGGCGTACGCAGCGAAATTACGATTTACCGCGGAGTTTGAGGGAAAGAAAACACACTGTAAACTTTTAAACTGTACTTAAGAAAGATCGAAAATCACGAACAAATACAATCAAGTAAATTAGTGAACGATTACATAAATTGTCTGCGTGGAATTTTACATAAACAATCAGAAAAGAAGTGAGATCATTAACAAAAATGTACCACACCCAAATGGTACGTTCGGTTCTGAAGAAAGCGATTGTAACGGTGCAGCAATGTGAACTGTGGTCGGTGGGTATGAGCTATTGCCCACCCTATCAAAGTAAGTAGTGTAGACTGATGCACTAATCCGATTGGTTTTCCGCTTAAATACGGTCCGCTGATTGGCTGGCGAGAAAGAGGGTGAATGGTCACGTAAGAGGATGTATTAATTTGAATTGGTGACTGGGTGAAGAGGTGACAATATTACGTGTTTTACAGCACAGGTGCAGAAAAACAGTGTGTAATGTAAGAGGAAGGGTAATAACACACAAACTCTCCCAGATACACCACGTACAGATACAGACTGCGTGCGGTTTAGACTACACAGCGGTCTCTCACTCACTTTAACTTAAGAGGTTGACTACTGAAGTACTGAGTGGAGCGGAGATTTTAGAGATAGATCCTTGATATAGTACTAGTAAACATATAGTAGACCTTAGCTTGAAATCTAAGAGACTTTGTAAATACACTGTGTAGTGCAGTACCACGATGTACGCTCAACTTATAAAGGACTACAGACTAGGTACATAGTCAATTAAACATTGATACTACATACTAATTAACTAATTAACTAATTGACTAATTAACTAGTTAACTAATTAACTAGTTAACTAACAATATTCTGGTACGAAGTAAAACAAGCTAAATTCTTCTAGCGGTGTATGAGAGAATGAGTTTTGTAATCACGCTGTGCCAAATATACCGTGTACAGAATACTGTTATTGAATACGTTTAATTTCAAGACGATTCCAAAATCCAAGGCTTAAAGAATCAATCAATTTTATATGGATACTACTAATTAACTTATTTATGCACACTATGTATTCTCGTATGAAACAATCTAAAAGACACGGAGCTCAAAAAGCTAACATACTGAACACTACTACTCAGTACACACATTATATATTATTATTACTACTCAGTATGATTTATTATATAATTATAATAGCAGAATTCTATTACTAGACTCATGAACGGATCACGGAGAATACACAACCCAATTATTAGTCTGAATATACCAAATCACGTACCTAACATTCCTAACCTTAGTCTGAGACCAGACTCACCGGATTTAATGTAAAGTATCTTTCATCACTGAAAGACTCAACCACTATCGCCTCAAATATGCACAACACAAACGCACTTATGAGCACAACCTCAGACACATAGAATCACTCATAACCCCTCAATATTTTCAGAAACTAGGACACCTCAACACCAAAAAATCCTCATACACCCACAGAAAACAACTCCTTACTCACCAAAAGAAGTTCGCGGTACTACTCTCAGAATACGACACCCCGTTCCTCTCACCCTACGACACTCTTAAAACGCTCGACATACCCTCTCCCACATTTCATGGTCCCCTCCTCAAGACCTCACCTACCCCCAAGAAAGACACCACAGCCAAAACAGTGATCAACCTCTCTGGACAGACCCTCTCCACAGCTGAAACTGACGTCCTCTCCCTTGGACTGAAGTTCGTCCCGACACCCACCTCAGATCCTACCCCCGACCTGGCTCCCCTCATACAGAATATCACTAAACAACTAGGAGAAGGCATGGAAGCCTCAGCCACATATCAGGTCACCTCTGTATTATCTAAATTTGACAATAAACGTGACATGACCACCGACAATTTGACTCCACAACAACGTACCGCTCTTAAATCTTTAAAATCTAAGAAATCTGAATTGAAATTTCTTCCTGCTGATAAGGGCAACGCCACTGTTGTACTGACTCACGATCAATACATAACCAAAGTTACCGACCACTTATCCTCAGGTAGTTACACCCTCTTAACGAAAGACCCCACTCAATCCGTTACCACTAAACTACAGAAAGTCCTCAAGAAACTACACACCGACAAGAAGATCACGACCGACCTATACCACAAGATGCGCAACCTACATCCTAGATGGCCTCAACTTTACGGACAACCTAGACCTAAGATACACAAACCCGGCGCACCTATCCGTCCCGTAGTCAGCTTCTACAACACCCCCCTCCAAGCCCTCCACAAAGTCCTCGCATCTTTCCTCAAACCCCTAGCCCAGAACCCCTTACGCCTCAAAGACTCTTCCGACTTCAAACATCGCTTCGACTCCTCTCTCAATCCCTCCTTCCACTACCACGCCTCCTTAGACGTCCAATCCTTGTACACCTCCTGTGACATGCGCCTAGCCCTCAAAACTGTCATCTCCTCCTTTGAACAGAACCCCTCTCGTCTTCCCTCCAATGTCACCACCACCACCATAGGCTCCCTTATCAACTTTTGCCTTGACAACTCATACCTTGAATTCAACGGCTCCTTCTACTCCCAAGACGAAGGTGGTACAATGGGATCCCCCCTCATTGTTGAACTAGCTGAAATCCGTCTTGCTGAAATCGAGACCTTAGCTTTATCCTCATGTCCTGACCCTCCGAACACTTACTCCCATTTCGTTGACGACGGCCTTGGATCTTTCAGAGACAGAAACCACGCAGAATCCTTCCTTACATTCCTTAACTCCCTTACTGAAGACCTCAACTTTACCCAAGAACATCCCTCTACAGACGGAACTATACCCTTCCTTGACGTTCTCATCCACCCTGACAAATCCACATCAGTCTACAGAAAACCCACCCACACCAACCTCTACACCAAGTACTCCTCCTGCACCACCAACTCATCTAAGAACGCAGTCATCCGATCACTGACCAGAAGAGCCCACAACATCTGCTCACCCCAACACCTTGACGACGAACTCCAGACAGTACGACACGTTTGCCTCCAGAACGGCTTCCCTCCTCACCGCATCACCACCATCATGGACGAAGTACAACGGAAATTCACCAACCCCTCTCGCCACCAATCCCTAGCCTCATTCAACCGACAGACCCGTGAACATGCCCTTAGTGTTTCTCTTCCTTTCCATCCCTCCCTATCCAAACCCATCTCCAAGATACTCGGACAACACGACATCAAAGTCACCCACTCCTCTGCTACCTCCCTCCGCAACCTCCTCACCAAAACGAAGACCACACCCCCTACTCACCTCACTCCCAACACCATCTACGAAATTTCCTGCTCACAGTGCCCCTCCAAATACGCCGGACAGACCTACAGACCCTTGGTCCACCGCATGAAAGAACACGAACGATGTTACAGACTCAACAACGCCATCGACGAATCCACAGACAGAATCAAATCAGCCCCTGCACATCATGCCCTGACCACCGGCCACACCATCTCCTGGAACAACATCGAAGTCCTCAAATCCCTCACCTCACGCCCCCAACTTGACCTCACAGAACACGCAGCTATACAAATACGACAACCAGCTATGAACAGAACAGACCGCGCACCCAAATGTAGTTCCCTCTGGGACCCCATTCTTCCTAAAATTGCCAAATCCTTAAAGTCCAGACCATCTGGCATTTCCTTCTCAACCTCAACAGAAGACTAAATTTTTATTGACATTGTACTGTAATTTTCACTTTCCCACCCACACCTCCCCCACCCTCCATCCCTGACACCACTCAATCACATATAAGCATTGTCCACCACATCACATTCAGCTGACGACGATTAACACATGTTTATTGAAAGCTTCTACAAGTTAAATCATCGTATCTCTTATATGTTTTTAACCCAACTCCACTCAGTTTTAAAGTATGGTGACTTGCCAGGGATGTGTGATTAGTGCATGGGATTTGCCAATTTTACATGCTAGTTCATTGGTTACTAAGTAACATAAAACATTGTGATATGTTTAGTGAAATGAGGATTAAAGAAATACAAAGTATCCCGCGCGCTCACAGTACATGGAAATCAAAAGCATGTCCAAGATTTAGAAGCAAGGAGCTGATCTTTACCGCTGAAAATAAAAGGAAATTGCACAAAGAAGACGTATATAATATCCTCTCCAGTGAACGAAGCCTTACCTTCGCCAGTGAGCCAATGACAAGGCTGAGATACAGGATCCCAGACCCCCTTAATCACGTACAGAGGTCCTGTGGAGCTACTTCCCATCTCCATTTCTGGGGAGGATGGAGGGTTAGGGACGTCAGGGCTTTAACATAATCAGGGTTAATGTACCTAATTGGTACTAATGGTACTTGGACGATTTAGGGATATTTGGTACATTTGATAGGCTAGGCTAGAGGGTACCGAGTAAGAACAAAATATCAGCCAAAAACTATCTAATGTCAAAGTTAATTATGAATTAACCGTTTTAAAACAAGTATTACAAAACGAAAATACGAACCAAGAGGCATGTCTAGTAACATGTAGTTGTCAGGATCATTGCTGTCTCCAGGAGCTAGGAACACACCACAACACCGCTCCAATATCAGAGCTGAGCTGTTGGACTGTGTCACTGTCACCACTATGTGGTGGTTTTTACGTTCCCTCATTTTAAATGTATCCTGAGTGGGGGATGTGGTGGTTAGACGTACTTTAGACGTACTTTAGACGTACTTTAGACGTACTTTAGACATACTTTAGACGAACTTTGTACATTTTTATTGATTGATTGAAGTAGTTGTTAAGCATTTAACATTTATAGTTCGTTCACATAATATTACGTTTTGATGAACCCCTTCGCGGTCCCCCCTCAGCTTTGCAATCAGTTTCACTCACGTAACTGCGTCACCCTCAGCAATTACGTAATATATGTAATCACTACCCCTTAGTATTAGCCATCGATATGAGCGATGACAATACCAAAAAGAACAATCGCTATTAACTTTATTCCAGTGCAGAGGAAGTGATTATACATCCCCAACATTCGAGGATCTCGAGAGAGCTTAGAGATTACCTTCTGTGCAGTGGTCTATTTCTTTTAGCTCAATATGTTGCAATCCTGTTTCTCAACAAGGCACAGATATTTTACGTCCAAATTGGATCGATTTTGAGAATGCATATTATAGATTGCAAGCTTGTCATTTTCTATATCTATATTATATAATATATAATCTCAATAAATCTGTGTATGTGTGGGAACAGCTTAAAGAAAACGGTAAGAGTTACGGGACTGGTTTTCCCCGTATAGTTTCGACAAAACTCTGACGAGGCCAAATGATTAATGTTTTTAAATCGGCCGGTGGTAATGGTTTTAATTGATGGTTTTGTGACCCAAATGTGATACTAAAGTGTCTCATATACTCATATTAATGAAGCATACATTACCATACCGAGCAAAGCAGCAGAATACTTAGAATTTAGACACCATTCTTTGAATCCTATTTTCATCATTTACCCAGCTCATTGGACCATAAATATTCATAATAAAGCTAGCTCAGCCACGAGGACAACTAATGTACTGATCATTGTAAATTATTAAGTCATGCAGTTTATGGCCCCCTAGAGTCTTATAATCCGGGGATGCGATGGAATATTGTTGAATTATGCAGTGAGAATTGAAGTTATAACAATAGCCGCTAAGAATTAGACAATTTCCTGATCTCAAATACGCCTTTGATAAAGTCAGAGGTCAGTATCTTAACTCAGTAAGCTGTTTTCTCAGCATTTAACGGGTGAGAGCTTGAGCATTGATATACGCTTTTTCGTTTGCGTATTTTCCCTGGCACCTTGAATTTTAGAATCTTGAAGTCAGGAGATTGCTATTTATAATTCATAAACCTAATCCAGACTCACCGGCTCCAACTCATGGCTCGTATTAGTGACTTATTTGCTTACTTCCTGTAAATCTCGGCTCACTAGCTTACTTCTTTGACTCAGCGGTTCAAATGTTCGTAATATTGGATCTAAGGCTTGACTCGATGGTCACTGGATCTTACTCTCGGATCATTAGATTGCAAGTCACAGCCTCATGGATCACTGGATTAGGGTCCAGATACACGTTTCTTGGCTCACGCTCACAGTTTTCGGCTTGGATAACATGATCGTGCAAGTTAGCTCACCGGCTCCGGGCTCGCCATGAAAATCCTGCAGCTCAAGGCAAAACATTACCGACCTTGTGTCCTTCGCCATTGTGTCCTATCCTCGTAATTGTAGAGAGAGCCAGATCGAATGCTAATAATATAATTTTTTTATTTTTATCTAGACACTTATTTTACTTCGGAGTATTCCAACAGCCATATTGTTACACAAGTGCAACCAGCCAATTACAGGAAGCCGAAGGATTTGTTTTTAGCCAGTGACGGTTAAGGTAGTGTGTACCATACTTTCTTCACCCGAGACTTTGCTGCAATGTGCAGCTCCTCATTTAACCCTCACACCCGATTTCTCGAGTATTCGGCTGAGTAGACCGGGGGGCTGCATAGACCACTCACGATCCTTAGCTGAATGTCAACGACACTCACCCCACGACCAGGCAGGCAGTGGGATTTGAACCCGCAATCTCACGATTGCAAAGCTGGCCGTTCCAACTGCGCTACCTGGCCGTTAAAATATATATAACTTAGGTAAATTGAAACATAAGTTCAACCGTTAAATGTCTTACAGTCTGATGAGTCATAAGCCGACTAAGTAAAACGTGTGATCGATTATAACCGCTAGTAGTTTACTAAGTATAACAAATATATTCAAGCTGAGTGTTCACGTGATTCGATAATATTCTCATTATTTTGTCCACACTTTCAGAATTAAAAAGTACTAAGTAATTACGCTATTATTTTGCTGCTCTTATACAGACCATCATTATTTAGATGTTTCCAATTAAAAAAGTTGTTGAACTCTCGATAATAATTATATTTTCACTGCAATTTTTCAAGACGTTTGTCTGAAATCTCTGTAAGCACCGAACCATTTTCCATCACAGAGACACTAGGTTTCTGGTCTATAAAGATGACTACTTGATAACCACAGAATCCAGAAAATAGGCGATTGTAAACACGAATTATAGAGTTTGCTGTATTCTGAGATTGTAGATACTTAGATATAATATGAAAATTTCATTATACTTTTTTGGTATAACTTACAATTTCAGTACATTATTATTGACCGACTTGCTAATAGCGGGAAAGAAAAAACGTATTTTTGGAAACATAAATATATTTGCAATTTGTTACGGGTATATGCCTCACAGAATGGCTAGCCTCACAGAATGGCCAAATTTGTAAATGTCTTTGTAACTAATTTTTTATATAAGACTGGTAGGTTTTGTGGATACCATATGAAACAAAGGTCTTCTGGCAACACTTCCTGTGGTGAAATCATTAACTAGAACCACATTTTCTGGCATAAATATGACTGTTTATGTAGAAATTTTGAGCACTGAAAATTTGTTTTCAAATTTTTGAACTAAGTTTACATTTTGGTGAGAACTTCTGGCACCAGTATGACAGAAGATGTTTAAAGAATAGTATTCATCAAACAATACGAAAATTGTTCAATATAGGAAGAAAAAAATGCCAAAATGGCTACACGCCTCACAAAATGGCCAAAATATGCCTCAAAAAATTTGTTTTCAAATTTTTGAACTAAGTTTGCATTTTGGTGAAAACTTCTGGCACCAGTATGACAGAAGATGTTTAAAGAATAGTATTCATCAAACAAAACGAACATTGTTCAATATAGGAAGAAAAAAAATGCTAAAATGGCTAAACGCCTCACAAAATGGCCAAAATATGTCTCACAAAATGGCCAAAATTTAAAACTCCTTTTATTCAATGAAACAATAAGTCTAAAGTATTCACAAGCTATTTATCATACAATAACACCCCAGATGGAGTGTTTTTACAGCCGAATGAAGGTTATAAATCATGAAATCAGGGAATATGAACAACGCCACACAAAATGGCCATTTTTGGTGTATGAAATTATGCCCTTTTTATTCAGTTCTAAGAAATTTCACCTATATGGGGGTGTTAACAAGGCATATTTATACCAGCAGCATGCCTGAAACAAGAGCCAAAGGTTTTAGAAAAATAAAATTTTCTCGTTTTCATTTTTTTGGGTCATTTTGTGAGGCATTTTTTCTTTTTTGTGAAATAATTTTTCACAGCTCAGTTTTTTCGTGAGTTTTAGGTTATTACCCCATTCCTTAATAGGTTTTCTAACAACGTGTGGTGATAGAAATTTAAAAAGTATCTCCATCAAAAAATTATAGAAATTTCAGATTTGGCCATTCTGTGAGGCATGTTTTTTTGGAGGAAGATTTTCCGGCCAATTTTTCTCAAAGAAAAAATAGTTATGAGATTAAATCAACCCCCGGGAAGAAAAATATGAGTGTCAACTTAGCTTCTTATGAGATAAAAACTGGGATAAAGTGTGTTTTGTGATTTTGAGAGACCTTCCTTTTTTTGGCCATTCTGTGAGGCATATACTTGTAGCCAAATTTATGACAATTTAGCTGAGATATCAGCTAAATTGTCATAAATTTGGCTAACAATTTGCAAACATATTTGATCTAATATTCATTAAATTATGTCAGAGTATGAAGTATTATCTACAGTGCCTACTATTTGGAGCTTTGACTATAACCTCATCTCTAACATTATCACGTAAGTACTCAACATGTTGTTTACAAGAATATGGGATTAGAGATCGCCTTTCCCAACCTAAACGTGAAGTTTATTTATCACATCACTATGCCTTGAAATGTTAAAAAGCATAGAATATATTTTCCACGAAAAGGGAAAGGGAAAATGTTTCCTTCTTGGTCTCTCTCCAATCTGCTGTAAAATTATTTAGACCTTAACGTCTTCCCTTTCAGACTACCAAATTAAAGTGACGGAAGTTGAAGCAAGCTCGAGCAAACCAGACTTTCCGGTAGAAAATATTTTAGACGAAGACGTGTCGTCTATCTATCATTCTTATGAAACAGGATCAGGAGCTCCATGGGTTAAGGTGCATTTTGCGGAATCAGAAGTGTCAAGGATTGAGATAGTGAACAGGCTTGGATGTGATAGCTGCCTCGAGAGGCTGACAGGAACAACAATTGAACTCTTTCTCGGAGCAGTGAAGATAAAAAGCTGCGGGACTATAGACGTAATTAACACCAACCCTAACTCTGAAGAAGATCAGACTTATACCATTCCCTGTGGAAACTTGGTGGGAGACACAGTTGTTGTTCAGGGAAACAACAAATTGCATTTTGCTGAGATTAGGATCTATAGAATTCCAATCCGTAAGTTTCAATTGGTGTTGAATAATTACTGGATAAATAATTAGTATTATATTATACATCCCCACTATATAATAAAGGTATTTATTATTCAGGTAAATTTGGTTAAAACCTCCTCCCGCCTCCCTCTTCCCGCCTCCCTCTTTCCTCCTCCTTCCCTCCTCCCTGAGCCAGGATTGATAGTTTCAACTTCATTCCACCTACCCTGACCACACTCTATTTAACTCAGATATCTATATCGTGTATAACTGATGTGCAACAGATTAAATAATTATAACAAACTGATTCCACCAATCAGGAGAAAAATCCCAGATTAGTTCAAAAATTTACTCAAGA